AACACTCCATAATCCTTTTAGGACACTTTATTCTTGGGTGTTGTTATTGCAAGTGAAACACCATTAGTTTGATTTTGATTATAAATGCATCACTATCACTGAATTTCTGTGCACGGCGAGATGTGTTCCACCTGTGATCTCACATTGTAACAGAACATTGCTTTCCCAGTCAGGGAAGAGACCATTTCACCTGGCAGCAGAGCATGGCAGTCTGGAAATGCTCCAGATGATGATGGAAAAGGAATATGAGATGGACACAATGACAGGGGACCTGGTCAGTCATTACTTACTCTAACCAGATCAGTTTATTAAGGGATTTTGCAATGAATGCAGATGTTTTGATTAATTCAAACAAATCTTTCATACAAGCTGAAGAAAGAACAGGAACATAGGATGTTGTAAAAATTAAATACAAGCAAAATGTGGGTATGTAGTGTTTTTATCAATGCAAGCTCATTTTTGCATTTGTGTTCCCTGTATTTCAGAATGGCAACACACCGTTGCATCTAGCAGCTAAAAACGGACATTTAGATGTCATTGAACTGCTCCACCACAACTATCAAACCCGAAATGAAGTTAATAAGGTAACTGTGGTGTGTTTATTCGTTTTTATTTGAATTGATATGGCTACACTGGACATTACTCCTTTTTCATTTCCTCCAGTATTGCATGTCTTGTATGTTATGTACTGTATATATTTTAGCGAGACGGGGTCAGCGAGGATGCAGACAGAAATTCAGGCTCTTGTTGGAATGGAAACTGCTCTTTATTGCTGGTACAGCAGCAAAGACAGCGTAACCAGGCTATAACACACTAGGGTCACTTGGGGTACAGGTACATACAGTAGGTATAGGGTGCTTAAGTGGGTACAGGTATAAAAGGGTGTAAACCAGGGATATCTATTTATATGACAACCTAACAGCTCACAACAATGTGCAACCACACCAGATGGTCAACCATCGCTGGCCAGTAGCTCTCAGTCCCCCCTTTGGTTCCTCCTCCCAACCTGCCCTTCGCTGCACACCTCAGCTGGGTGCTCTTCCAGGCCAGGCGAGGGCGCCACAATCTAAAAACATCTCAGGAAAACGGAAGGCTCTTTCTGGATGGAAGAAGAAGAACACTGCAGTAGGGCAGGCTTGTGTGTTTTTCCCGAGGAACGCAGACATAGCGTTGGGTGTCCACTGATCAGTGCATTTACCTTGTCAACCCCCCAAGGCTGAGGAGACTGCCCTCTACTTGGCTGCTGATGGAGCTCATGAAGAATGTGTGGAGGCTCTGCTGAAAGCTGGATGTGACCCCAATATTGCGACCAAAGTAAGATTATCAGTTATCTTTGTAAAACTTTGCATCTAGACCACAAAGCTTCAGTTTAGCCTCATATGACCACACAACTTTTTACCACATATTTTCAGTGTCATTTGATGCGCTTTGTTTCAATGTGAGATTTGACACGGGTTTCTCACGCTGACGTTCTAGCTTGTGACTGGGATACTGCTGACTCACAGCCATTTTCTCCATCTCAGCCCTGAACTCTGCACCTTTTTAAAAGTCGCTGTTTGCCTCACAGTGGCATTCCTATTCTCCTCCTTATGCAGCTGCTCAGTTTGGAGGAAAAGTCTGATCTGGGCAGTGTCTGGAGTGAAGCTGGGCATATTACCTAGAGTACTTAAATAATTTTCTTTCTTCTTATTTCTCCAGGCTAACCACAGTGCTTTGCATGCAGTGTCAGAAAAGGGTAATACGCCTTTAGTGAATCTTCTCATCGAAAATGGGGCTGACATGAACTGTCAAAACGAGGTGATATATATTTGGTTGTATAATTTAGTGCATTGTAAAAACATGTACTCTCTCCTGCAGCACTGGGGCCCTGGGTTTAATTCCGGGGGTGCTATCTGTGTGGAGTTTGTATGTTTTCCCTGCATACTGTACATGTGTGTTGGTGCTCCAGTTTCCTCCAACAGTCCAAAGACATACTGTTAGGTTAACTGGATTCTAGGAAAATGTACCCTGGAGTGGCTGTGTGTATCTTGTGATGGACTGGCATCCCGTCCAGGGTGGACCCTGTCTTGGGCTTGTTGGTTTCCGGGATAGGCTCCTTTTTGGTTGGATGCACTATTACCAGATAGGTTTCATGTCTTTTTTAAGGGCCATTTTTCTTTTTTTGTTTTGTGTAAAACATTAAGGTAATGTGATAGGACAGCTGTCTGCATCCTTGGTCTTGGAATACCACAATTCTGCAGGTTCCATAGGTCATTGTGTATAGGCAATGAATAGAACCCTGTCAATTATGTTTGTTGAAGTGGTTCAGACTACTTGGAATGAAAAGCCTGAAGACTATATAGAAGAAGGTCAAATATCTTAAATGGAAAAAACTGAGATTTACTGACTAAAGAATAGACCAGGGGACAGACCTGGAGAATGCAGGTAATGGCATCCATCTTATAGAGAGTTGTGACTGGCAGCTGCTTACCCAAAACTGGGATTTCTTATCAATCTTTGTGAACTACTTATGTACTGTAGGTCTCTTACTCATTTTTGGTTTACTTAATACTGGACTACAAAAGGATTAAATAACACACGATTACATCTCAAGGAATACATAAGGAAGTTCCTTATTGGTATTTGGACACTTGGTCTGACATGGTTCCAGGAGCCTCAGAATCAAAATCCATGCTGTGTGGGGAGCACACAGCCAATGGCAGTTTGATCTGCCATTAACCTTATCAATGAACCAATTCATATAGAGTATTATTATGGTTCTAACATGTATACTGTTTCACACTAGCTAACTCTTTACCATATTTGAACACACTGCTTGTAGTAAACAACATCAGTTTCAGTAGTTAGGTTAAGATGCGAATGAATGTGAGAGAGAGAGATGAGATATGCAGAGTGTATTTGGTGTAATTTGTCTGGGTGAGGGACTGGCAGACTAACTGTTAAGATGTTGCTGCCCAGACCTCCTGTCTCATTGTGAGGACTGAGCCAGGGAGTAGCTGCATTGATGCAGACGGGGGGTAGCAGGAGGGATACGAGAGGAATGTTCTACAGGATATCCCGGGTGCAAGATTTACAGTATGTGAATGGGCGAGCAGAAGTGTGCGAGATTAGGTTTTATACATTAACATGAATGTATGAACACCTATAAAGAGAAACTCTATAACCTTTAATGCAAAATGATCTGACTTTTCCATTCTGAATGTCTTCATTTTTTGTTTCAGCAAAAACTGGCTCCCATCCACCTGGCTGTTAAGAATAGCCACATCCCTGTCATACACACACTGATTAAGTCTGGCTGTGATGTTAATGTCACCGATGATGTAAGTGTTATCAGCACAAAGAAGACGTTATGATCTTGAAGAAGTGAGATGAAGGATCTGAAATCTCATTCAGTTAGAATGCAATATTTCCAATGTCAGGTTACCGTTTTAGAAATTAAAAGTAAGGTGTAGAGAAATGTAGAGAGAATCCAGAGAAATTAAAATGTCTCTAGATCTTGAAGAGCAATATAATGATATTTCTTTAGCAGACACTTGTGATAAGAATTGCTGTTTCTGTAGGGATTTTGCCTCGGACTCTCAGTATTAGATATTGAATAATTTAAACAAATGGCTTAATGAATGTTTTCTACAGAGGAGGCAAACTGCTCTTCACATTGCTGCAGAGCTGGGAAAGCCAGACATCGTGGAGATGATACTTAAAGCTGATAGTGACCTTTCAATGCAGGACAAGGTAAAAGAGAACTGGGTTAAAGCAGAAAAAACATAATTTTGGTAGCAAATATTTTGGCTTTCATTGGCCCTTGCTTTTCCTCTGTATTTGTTTCTGTTTTACCTTTCTTCTAATATCTCTTCCATTTCTTGTAGCAATAATCCCGAAAAAGAATGACTTTTAAGTTGATTAAGATGATCAGTAACCTTTCTGATTTTTAAAGCACTTTAAACACATCCAAAGACAGGATGTAAATAGCTCTTGATCTTACGTGTCTGTATTTTTTTAGGTGGGGGGGCAATACTTTATTGGTCATGTGTGCTGTCATGAAGCGCTTTGGTGCCACGTAGGATTGCACGTCTTCTTTTGAAGTAACCAGCAAAAAGCCAGAAGCATAGGGAAAAGTCAGGAACAGCACCATGCATTTTCATCCTTTTAGTTCAATGCGAACATAAATGTCACTCACTCAACTCTGAATGCATGTTTCAGAAGGGATTTTTGTTAG